AGGTGACATGAGATCAATGGCCTAAAACTGCTCTCAGATCTACAGAGAATTTTATAATGCCAGGCTCCACCATGGCCTTGGCTGGGCCTGGGTCCCAAGGTTCTGAGGGTGAGATGACTATGCAGACTTCATTTCCACTTCAAAAGTGAATTGTGACCCATTTAAGCAGATGAGTTGAAGTCTTCAGGTGCAAAGGAAGGCCTGAATCAGAAGTATTTAGGCTGCTATAGAACAATGACTTCCTCGAAGAGATAGAGCTAGTCAATGATTAAAATTCTCTCTGCCTGGAAAAGGCTCTAGCTTTCTGTTTTGATTTCTTTTAAACCCAGGGGGATTCATTAATAACAAAACCTTAAATTTGTAGCAGCATGTTTTAGTCTCTGAGGGTAATTAATCTATTCAATTTATCTAACTACCAAACTCCTGAGCATGTTTAAGCCAAAGTATGTGGTTCCTTTGCTCCTCCATAGGTCTCATTTTGTTGCCAATGACCTTTTTTCACTATGAACTCCATTATCTGTCCTAATTCTGCCTGAGAGTACCCCTAAGCCCTAGATGAAGCCTATATTCCACATCCTCCAGTCAAAGGTTTCTGAGAAATTCATGAGTCTCTTCCAACACGCATACATGTGCACACACTGAATCCATGGGGTTGGACAAATATCCACCTTCAGAGAAAAAAAAAGAACTTTCTCTTCCACCTCTGTCCATGCATCCACTTTGGTACTAAACACCCACCAGGGGATTTGCATTCTCCAGGAACTATGGCTGGAGCATCCCGAACCCCCAACTCCCGCACTCCCTAATCCATGACATATTCCCTGTGATACCTACCTTGATCATCTGCCCGAAGTATTGTATGACAGGTTTCTCAAGATAAGGTTACTCTTTTGTCCTCCTTTTTACACTGAGCTCTTTGGAAGGAAGTCACTATATACAACCCACATTTAGAGTAAGGAGTTAGGACCAACTCCTTGAGGGCAAAGTATCTATATGAATTAATATTCTTCTTCATGTAGATTCTTCTCTTCTCTGCTTATTTCATACAATCATTTTTATATTGTTATAGATCATTCATTTTAAATATCTGTCCCCACAGCACCTCTCACAATCTGGCAGTTAATAGAATGACAATGTAATGGACTGACTTTGGTCCCTCCAAATTCCATGCACTGAAGCCATAACTTCTAATGCCACAGAATGTAACTGTGCTTGGAGACAGGACCTTTAAATAGTTAATTAAGTTTAAAAGATGTCATAATAAGTAACAAGCTGTATTATGTACCCAATACCCCAAGGTGATTGTAAAATGCATGCACTGCAAACATGTACTAATAAAATAAAAGGAAAATAAAGAAGTCAGAGGGTAGATTTAAAGCCAAATAAGACTGTTATCCTTTTAAGAAGACAAAGAGGTACCAAGGATTCATGCACCCAAAGAAAAGCCATTTGAGGTCACAGAGAGAAAGTAGCAGACTATAAGCCAAGGGAAGAAGCCTCGCACACATTGATCTTGGTCTTCCTGCCTCCAGAATAAATGTCTGCTGTTTAAACTTCAGGGGCAGTTCTAGTGGAATAAAGTGGGAAGCACAGGACTCAGTGTTTGTTATGCATCTGTTCAGTATAGGTTCTTGGAAGTCACCTGCCGCTCCTAGACATCTGTGGCCATTAATCTTGATATATCAACCTAATTGGATCCAGAAACACCTAGAAGGTTAGTAAAGCACATTCCCCTGTATGTGGGTGGGTCATGGAGGTGTGGCCTTACATATTACATATAGTCCCTCATGTTCCTCTCTGGAACTGTTCCTCCTGCCTGAGAGGAATGAACTAACCATTTTTGCTCTGCTATGACCTTCTTGAACGATATTTCTGCCTTGGAGCCAGCCAACCATGGAGTGAATCCCCTTGAAACCAGGAATCAAATTAAACCTCTCCTCCTTTAAGTTGTGTGTATTGGGTATTTTTCCCCAGCAATTGGAAATCTAACTAATATAACATCCTAGGAAGAAAAGACCTTTGGAATACACCTGTGAGTCAGTCATGACATCAGGCTTTTGCAGAAATGGGTATGGAAAAAGTTTAATGAAAACTCCTTTTAGTCATCATCTGATCACACCAGAGAAAAAGGCACAAAAAGATTTTGAAATAATAGGAGGCACAAAAGTTCCTTGAACATTCACACGAGCATCTTCTCCTTGTTTTGGGATCTCTATACCCACCACTATATCTACTATTTCCAGAAAACAGGAAAACAAAATCAGAAGCAGAAAAACAGACCAAAAAATGGGAGGACTTGTTCTATTATTCCTAAACAAATCCCACGCCTATAATATGAGGTTTAGATTACATAGTCCCTGGTGTTTCTTCCCATGCTTTTAAAGAAAACAACTAGCATGTGTTCCTTAGCACCTGTTACTATATCATCTTACAGAGTACTCAAGACAACCTTAACAGGTACTATTATTACCGCTATTTTGCAGATTTGGGAATTAATATACAGAGATCAAGTAATTGTACAATGCCACACAGCTAGTTGGTAATAATGATAAGACTTGAATTCAAACAGGATGGTTCCAAAGCCTGCAGTCACCAGCCCTGTGCTGCTTTCTAACAGGTGAAGTACCTCCCCCCCACCCCGAGTTTCCTGGTATAGGAACAGACAAAATGCTATACAGCCAACTCTGGGCGTGGTGGTGCATTCCTGTAATCCCAGCCCTAAGGAGGCTGAGGCAGGGACCAGCCTGGGGTACATAGTGAGTTCAAGGTCAGCCTAAATTACATAGAGACACTGTCTCAAAAAACAAATAAAAATCAAAAATTACTTTATGGTCTAGGACCTGGAAAAAGTTCAGCGTTTGTGAGCATGTGGGGGTCAATCCAAAATTAATATTTGAACAATGATTACCTTTTCCCCCAAACTGTCTCATTTTCTGACTGCTGAGTTTGAATCAGGCTTATGGAGAATGCTGTTCAGTGGTTTGGTGTAAAGTTTAAAAGGCGCCATGCCATTATTGACAGCCCAATAAATACACACAAACGAACATAAAACTTTTTAAAAAACTAAACATTTGGAAAGTAGAAAAGAGCTTCATTGCATTTCTAGAGCACCAACCCCAGTAAAATCTAGAGATTGAGGAAGTCTGTGATTTTTGCAAAATATAGTTTCTCTACAAGAATGAATTGAATTCCCTGAAGAGCTGCTTCGTTCTTTGCTTGGCCAAGCATTTGCTGCAGACTTCCTTTGTGAGGTTTATTCAACAGAGGAAAAAATACGGGCTCTGAGCTTTTTTTTTTTTTTTTTTTAAATTAAAGGTTAAAAAAAATAGCTCCTCTCTCCATCCATCCTTAGAATTACACTTTTGAGTCTAGTTCCCTTTCCTGGTAGATAGATATAATCCTAATTAAAAATAAATTACATGCAGTATAGAACTTGAAATGGAAAAGATAATCCTATTACACATGAGAATATATCCTGATTTTCTTTCCCGCTAAACTGTGGGAGATATCAGATCAGGCTGAGCCCCCCATTGTCGCCGCTTTGAAAACTTTCCTAGAGCCCTAATCTGTCATGTGACCCCCGTGTCACTCTCGGTGTCTGCACGCGAGTTTCACAATGCCGGCTTTAGGCTCGGTTACAGAAACCCAGCTTGGCGGAGCCTGCAACATTTGCATTCCGAGAAAACGCCAGCCATTGTGGCACTGTGTTTGTTCTCAGGATTGCGAGACAGTTGCCGGTGAAGTTGCTAAAACCCAGAGAAAGAGATTCCTTTGAGCCAGCCCAGGCCTTTTGGTACGATAACAAAGCGATCTGAGCGGCTTTTGTCCTGTGGGATCAGCTCCGGGGCAGGCGAGCTCCCTTCTCACCCCACGCCGTACTCCCCTCCCGCGCACCCACCCACCCTCGCGCCCTCGGAAATTTTTTTCTCCCCGGGGGTTTCTTTCGGTGGCCACTGATGAGCGGTTTTAAACCGTGTTTGC